GACACCCTACAATCTTCACTGGTGACAAAAATAGATGAGGTGAACCTCGAGGAACAACAGAAAGAGGCCATGTTCAGTCTTCTTACCAGTTTGGTGACATGTTTGATGGTAATCTTGGACACACTTCCCTGACGGAACACACAATTGATACAGGTCAGGAAAAGCCAATAAATCTCCCTCCCTACCGCAGCTCTCCTGCGAAGAAAAGACTATAGAAGAACAGGTAGAGCAGATGTTGAAAGACGGAATCATTGAGCAGTCTACCAGCCCCTGGGCTGCCCCAGTTGTGATCGTTAACAGACCTGACAGGGACCCAAGATTCTGTGTGGACTATAGAGGTTTGAACCAGGTCACACAAAAAGACTCTTACCCCCTGCCTCGTATTGACGAGTCACTTGATTTTCTGGCAAGAGGGCAGTTCATCACAACACTGGATTTGGCTCGTGGATATTGGCAGGTGGCAGTTGCAGAGGAATCCAGATCAAAAACAGCCTTCATATCACACTGTGGCCTTTTTCAGTTTCGTGTCCTCCCCTTTGGTCTCTGCAACGCACCAGCCACATTTCAAAGACTAATGAACAGTGTACTTGCTGCTCTCATCTCCAAAACATGTGCAGTGTATCTCGATGATATTGTTATTGCTTCTCCCACCTTCTAACAGCACCTCACTGATCTCAAGGCACTGCTCAAAACACTCAAAACTGCTGGTCTGTCTCTGAAACTAAAGAAATGTCACTTCTGTCTGAGTGACCTGACCTTCCTACGATACCGCATCACGCCCTCAGGCATAAAACCCGATATGGAAAAAATCAAAGCAGTAATGGACAATTCCTCGGACTGACGGGATACTATCGTCGTTTTGTTCAGGATTATGCACGCCATGCTGAGCCTCTTCATGCACTCACAAGGAAGGACACAACTTTTCACTGGAATGATAAATGTCAGGAATCCATGGACATTCTGAAAAAATCTGTTACATCAGCACCTGTCTTACGGTTTCCTGATTTCACTTGTCCATTTTTCATTCATGCTGATGCTTGCGACCTTGGCCTGGGTGCAGCCCTGATGCAGAAAGACGAGGAAGGTCGTGAGGTTGTTGTGGCTTATGCAAGTCGCTCCCTGCACAAAGCTGAAAAGCCCTACTCTACACCGGAGAAAGAGTGTTTAGCTGTGATTTGGGCTCTTGAACATTTCAGGCCTTATGTGGAGGGCCTCCACGTGACTATCTTCACAGACCACAGCACCCTCCGGTGGTTAATGTCCCGGCCTAACCCCTCTGGCCGCCTTGCACGGTGGTCCTTAAGACTTCAAGATTTTGACTTCACTATTGTGCACAAGCCTGGTACACATAACAATGTGCCAGATGCATTGTCTCGCAACCCCTTACCCCATTCCGACAATGCCCCCACAGATATCCTACCAGACTACGCTGTCATTGGCAGTCTGGATCTTCGCAACCTGCCACCTGTGTTGTTGCTTTCGGATCGTTCTCATGTAAAGCACCTACAGCTGGATGACCCAGTAACAGGTCAACTTCTCCAAGGTCTTGAAAAAGACGGTCATGTGGACACAGATGAAAGTGGCCCTCATCAGTATGTCGTTTATGACGGCCTGCTGTACTACAAAGACCCAAAATCAAAATGTGGTTTGCATCCATTAAAGGACCTGAAACTCTATGCTCCCACATCGAGCCGTGGCACCTTGCTCAATTATTACCACGACCACCCCACTGCTGGTCATCTTGGTGTTTCAAAGACTCTTGCAAGGCTGCGTTTCAGATTTTTCTGGCCAAAAATGGCTGCAGATGTGAAGCGATATGTCACCTCCTGTTCAGTGTGTCAGCTCACCAAGCCGTGTCAGAGAAAACCGGCTGGTCTCATGGTTCCCATCTTGCCTCAGAAGCCCTGGGAGTACACAGGAGTTGATTTTGTTGGACCGTTGCCCCGCACTGCATCCGGAAATGCTTACTTGCTAGTCTTTGTTGACTATTTTTCCAAATGGATTGAGGTGTGTGCAGTCAGAGAAGCAACAGCGCAAGTAGCAGCCTCAAAGTTTGTCAGCGAGGTGTTTTCCAGGCATGGTGCCCCGACTTACCTTATCTCTGACAGAGGTACGCCTTTTGTGAGTAGGTTGTTTGAGCATGTTGTTTCAACCCTTGGGACTGTGCACAGGCTCACCACAGCGTACCACCCTCAAACGAATGCCACGGAACGTGTTAATCGAACTCTAAAAACTGCTATACGAGCTTATGTTGGTGACAAGCACACATCATGGGACAAGTTTCTTCCCCAGATCTGCTTTGCACTCCGTACAGCCCCCCACGAGAGCACTGGACTCAGCCCTTCAATGATGCTGTATGGTCGAGAGCTGGACACACCACTCGACCTCATAACACAACCATCCTGTGACGGTGTGGATGAGCCCAGCATCCTCTACCCGGAGACTCTCAGAGCCTCCCTCAAGGAAGCACATGACCATGCCAGAGCAGCTCTTGACCACAGTCATAACAGACAAAAACATTACTATGACTTGAGACGTCGTCAGGCTACCTTTGCTGTGGTGACCTTGTTAGAGTGAAATCCCACCCCAGGTCTGACGCACAGTCTAACTTTACGGCTAAACTTGCACCCCTGTTCACAGGCCCACTACGTGTTAGTCAGAAGCTGGGTGAGGTAAACTACAGACTGTCTAACCTGGACACTGGTACTGATGCTGGTGTCTTTCATGTAGTGAACTTGCAACCTTTCCACACGTGGGACTCTTCTTCCTCCAACAGGCGATGTTCCGGTGACTGAGGAGCAGCATGACCCTGAGGCCTTGGACAATGATTTGCCTCACGCCCAGACTGACATTGAAGCTGACCTCACTGCTGCAGACATGTACTATGACACGCCTGATGACACTGACCCTGTGTCTGACTCTGAGAACCGTGACACTGTAGTTGCGTCTGACCCTGACCCTGACCCTGACTGTACTGGACGATACAACTTCAGACCAAGACCCTGCCACGAATCACATCTGGCTGGTCAGGCAGCAGATGGACAAACTCTTACCATACTGACAGACTTGACTTGAAGTAGGCAGTCGGTTTGTTATGTTATGTGAAAAAAAAAACAGCAAGCAGAAGTGTTAAAAGTCAAAATCTGCATTCCTCTGTTAATATGTTTCGTTTACTATACTGTTTCTGATGTTTATCCTGCTTATGTGGTTCAGGTTTTTCCACAGGTTGAGATTCTTATGTGCTTTAATTGAGAAATACTCTAATTCTTTAATTCACGGCAGAATTGTTCTTTGGGTTTCTGTGAGGAACATGTGTAGAGAAGGGAAAGACTAGGAAAATAGGGATTTTGCACTATTCTTTTACTGTAACACTGTATAGTGTGTTTTGTTTTTCAATTTATATTCTGTTTGCTGATATGTATATCAGTATGCTGAACATTAGCTCTTTCCCTGAGTGTATCTGCTAACTTTTCATTAAGTCTAAGTGTAGCAGTATGTAAAACTGCAGGTTGGTTGCTTCTTCGGCTGTGTGCGGCTGGGGACAGCCTTCTTTTCACCAGGGGGGAATATGTAACAGTCAGAATATATTAGTAGTACCAAATAGCGCCACAAGGTGGTGTCTCTGTTTTGTTTAAGTGTGTGGGTGAGAAAGTCTATCTGTGTCAGTCATCTTGTATGTCGATCAAGAGAGGACTCTCCAAAACTCTAGTGACGAGTTGGTGCAGGATAATAACCTATTTTTACCTGTCATGTGTGATCAGGATATATAGTGCCGTGCTGACCTGGCTTTGTTCCGTTTAGTAAAACAGAATAAAAGTGCCATGTGGAAATCCCCAACTTTGTTGTCTGTTTAACTGATGCTAACCAGCTATCCCGGGACTTATTGCCAACTAGCTACACCTCCTGTACCAGCAGTGTTACAGTAGGCTAACAGAGGGATTTGTGACAGAAAACAACATAAATTGAGTCCCGGTCCTGTGCTTTCTGACTTTATGAGCAGAGTCAGTTGGTCCTGCAGGGTCAGACCACAGTCTGAAACGGCTTGACTCTGTGTTTCTTTAGCCGACCGCAGCTCGGGTTAGCATCTTCATTACAGCTGAAGGTGTGTTTAAACTGATGCCTTGCTATCTTAAGTCCAGGATAACTAAAAGAAGGGGTCTGTGGCGGTGACTCGTGATAAAGTGAGCGGCTGTAAACATGGACTATGAGGTGTAACAGGACTGTGGGAACCAGAGGATCACAGACACGTGGACCATGAGGTGTTACAGGACTGTGGGAACCAGAGGATCACAGAGGTAAAGAACAAAATTTAGAATCCGTCAACTCGCCCCAAAAAATCTGCCCCAAAAGATGCTTGCTTGATTGTTTCATTGTGAACGAAAATAGGGACTTGTGCGCATTAGATGGTAAACCGAATACAATTTCCTGTTTTCCTTGTATTGATCTCTAGAGCGTTGTTATTAGTCCACTTAACCAATTTGTTCACAGTGTGCAGCAAGTGGAGGATTACTCAATCTTCTCCGATGTTTTCAGACGAACAGGAGGTTGAAGTACAGCCTTTAATCTGGCTACTGGACGTCAGTATTGTCACTGTGCCATTCAGGACAAAAGGCCTCCATTTACATCCAGGTCTCATCGATCCAAGAAGACTCCAGTGTCCAGACAACAATTCTTTGGACTGCACAAGATTATAAACATACAACCTCCATCTTGTCAGGTCACATGACTTTGTTGATATAAAATATTTTTCCTGGGTGAGAGAATTCAAACACTGCCTCTGGTGGTCATCTGGAACTCTGTTTTTAACCAACATTTACTTTGTTGGGTCTGCAGATACATTTGGTAAAAAACGTTTTGTTTTTTTTAAAATAGGTTGTGTCTTTGTGTACTCAATCCGTGAATAAAACAAAGTCTGATTCTTAAAATATGAATCAACATCTGAACAACACAGCAGCCGCTCTTTGAAACACAGATGACATTAAAGGGACCAGTTCAACAGCTGACAGTTTGGATAATCATTTTTATTAGTCTGACTTTTTCTTTGATTAAAAGTGTTTTCTTAAAAGCAAAAAAAAAAAAAAGTTGTCATGGACGAAAACAGTTTATTTACACTCTAAATAAATTCCCTTTGTCGTTCCTATCATTAGTAAAATACTTTAAACACAGTTTCTAGAAAAGAGGTATCATGTGAACATAAAAATTAAAATATAACATATAAAACGTCTCATCACCAACACATGATTCCCTTTATAGAAGAATAAAATCAGCTGTAACACAAAACAACTCCAGCAGGGGGCAGCAGACAGTTATCCCATCAGCTGATCTATGTCATGTGATTCGCTGTAATTATTTCAACATGATGATCAAACGTCTCTCCTGGTTGTTAGAGTCTGACTGAACAACAAACACAAAGCCAACAGACTGACGGGAAACATTCACATCTTCTGTTCTAATCTCACAGAGAGTTCATCTTCTCTACCGCAGGAGATCAGACCCTGAGTCCAACTTTCATCCTGTTGATTTTCCGACAGTGAAAAGTGTCTTTACGTTCTACATGAAGAACTGAGCCAGCAGGTTGGCCACACCCAGAACAATCAGGAGACTGTGGAAGACAGCTGACGGCCAGCGGAGCAACCCCTGACGTCTCAGAGAAATCATGTGGACTAAAGCTGGAAAGACAAAAACCAGAGCCAGACCACAGGTCGCTCCAGAGAACCTGCAGAGAGAGAGAGAGAGAGAGGGGGGGACAGAGACAGAGAGAGAGAGAGAGGGGGGGGGGGGGGGGGGGGGACAGAGAGAGAGAGAGAGAGAAGAGAGAGAGAGAGAGGGGGGGGAGGGGGACAGAGACAGAGAGAGAGACAGAGAGAGAGAGAGGGGGGGGGAGGGGGGGACAGAGAGAGAGAGAGAGGGGAGGGGGAGGGGGGACAGAGACAGAGAGAGAGAGAGAGAGAGAGAGGGGGGGGGGGGGGACAGAGACAGAGACAGAGACAGAGAGAGAGAGAGAGAGAACTTAACTGTTTTAATCTTTTATTTACACAAAAGTTCTTCTCAGAAAGAGTCTTGATCCCCTAACAACAAACACTTTGATACTTTCATTGGATTTCAGTTTTTCTGGTTATTTTATCCCAACAAAAAAAAAATTAAACAACAAAACATCCAGAGCAGAAGAGGCCATGTTAGAAGAAGCTGTAGAAATGATGCAGTTAGAAGCTGTAGAAATGATGCAGTTAGAAGAAGCTGTAGAAATGATGCAGTTAGAAAAAGCTGTAGAAATGATGCAGTTAGAAGGTGTAGAAATGATGCAGTTAGAAGCTGTAGAAATGATGCAGTTAGAAGAAGCTGTAGAAATGATGCAGTTAGAAGGTGTAGAAATGATGCAGTTAGAAGGTGTAGAAATGATGCAGTTAGAAGCTGTAGAAATGATGCAGTTAGAAGCTGTAGAAATGATGCAGTTAGAAAAAGCTGTAGAAATGATGCAGTTAGAAGAAGCTGTAGAAATGATGCAGTTAGAAGCTGTAGAAATGATGCAGTTAGAAGCTGTAGAAATGATGCAGTTAGAAGAAGCTGTAGAAATGATGCAGTTAGAAGGTGTAGAAATGATGCAGTTAGAAGAAGCTGTAGAAATGATGCAGTTAGAAGAAGCTGTAGAAATGATGCAGTTAGAAGCTGTAGAAATGATGCAGTTAGAAGCTGTAGAAATGATGCAGTTAGAAGAAGCTGTAGAAATGATGCAGTTAGAAGGTGTAGAAATGATGCAGTTAGAAGCTGTAGAAATGATGCAGTTAGAAGCTGTAGAAATGATGCAGTTAGAAGAAGCTGTAGAAATGATGCAGTTAGAAGTGTAGAAATGATGCAGTTAGAAGCTGTAGAAATGATGCAGTTAGAAAAGCTGTAGAAATGATGCAGTTAGAAGCTGTAGAAATGATGCAGTTAGAAGCTGTAGAAATGATGCAGTTAGAAGAAGCTGTAGAAATGATGCAGTTAGAAGGTGTAGAAATGATGCAGTTAGAAGAAGCTGTAGAAATGATGCAGTTAGAAGAAGCTGTAGAAATGATGTAGTTAGAAGGTGTAGAAATGATGCAGTTAGAAGCTGTAGAAATGATGCAGTTAGAAGCTGTAGAAATGATGCAGTTAGAAGAAGCTGTAGAAATGATGCAGTTAGAAGGTGTAGAAATGATGCAGTTAGAAGCTGTAGAAATGATGCAGTTAGAAAAGCTGTAGAAATGATGCAGTTAGAAGCTGTAGAAATGATGCAGTTAGAAGCTGTAGAAATGATGCAGTTAGAAGAAGCTGTAGAAATGATGCAGTTAGAAGGTGTAGAAATGATGCAGTTAGAAGCTGTAGAAATGATGCAGTTAGAAGAAGCTGTAGAAATGATGCAGTTAGAAGGTGTAGAAATGATGCAGTTAGAAGCTGTAGAAATGATGCAGTTAGAAGCTGTAGAAATGATGCAGTTAGAAGGTGTAGAAATGATGCAGTTAGAAGCTGTAGAAATGATGCAGTTAGAAAAAGCTGTAGAAATGAAGCAGTTAGAAGCTGTAGAAATGATGCAGTTAGAAGCTGTAGAAATGATGCAGTTAGAAGAAGCTGTAGAAATGATGCAGTTAGAAGAAGCTGTAGAAATGATGCAGTTAGAAGTGTAGAAATGATGCAGTTAGAAGCTGTAGAAATGATGCAGTTAGAAAAAGCTGTAGAAATGATGCAGTTAGAAGCTGTAGAAATGATGCAGTTAGAAGCTGTAGAAATGATGCAGTTAGAAGAAGCTGTAGAAATGATGCAGTTAGAAGGTGTAGAAATGATGCAGTTAGAAGCTGTAGAAATGATGCAGTTAGAAGAAGCTGTAGAAATGATGCAGTTAGAAGCTGTAGAAATGATGCAGTTAGAAGAAGCTGTAGAAATGATGCAGTTAGAAGCTGTAGAAATGATGCAGTTAGAAGCTGTAGAAATGATGCAGTTAGAAAAAGCTGTAGAAATGATGCAGTTAGAAGCTGTAGAAATGATGCAGTTAGAAGCTGTAGAAATGATGCAGTTAGAAGCTGTAGAAATGATGCAGTTAGAAGAAGCTGTAGAAATGATGCAGTTAGAAGGTGTAGAAATGATGCAGTTAGAAGAAGCTGTAGAAATGATGCAGTTAGAAGAAGCTGTAGAAATGATGTAGTTAGAAGGTGTAGAAATGATGCAGTTAGAAGCTGTAGAAATGATGCAGTTAGAAGCTGTAGAAATGATGCAGTTAGAAGAAGCTGTAGAAATGATGCAGTTAGAAGTGTAGAAATGATGCAGTTAGAAGCTGTAGAAATGATGCAGTTAGAAAAAGCTGTAGAAATGATGCAGTTAGAAGCTGTAGAAATGATGCAGTTAGAAAAAGCTGTAGAAATGATGCAGTTAGAAGGTGTAGAAATGATGCAGTTAGAAGCTGTAGAAATGATGCAGTTAGAAGAAGCTGTAGAAATGATGCAGTTAGAAGGTGTAGAAATGATGCAGTTAGAAGCTGTAGAAATGAAGCAGTTAGAAGCTGTAGAAATGATGCAGTTAGAAGCTGTAGAAATGATGCAGTTAGAAGCTGTAGAAATGATGCAGTTAGAAGAAGCTGTAGAAATGATGCAGTTAGAAGCTGTAGAAATGATGCAGTTAGAAAAAGCTGTAGAAATGATGCAGTTAGAAGCTGTAGAAATGATGCAGTTAGAAGCTGTAGAAATGATGCAGTTAGAAGCTGTAGAAATGATGCAGTTAGAAGCTGTAGAAATGATGCAGTTAGAAGAAGCTGTAGAAATGATGCAGTTAGAAGGTGTAGAAATGATGCAGTTAGAAGAAGCTGTAGAAATGATGCAGTTAGAAGAAGCTGTAGAAATGATGTAGGTAGAAGTTGTAGAAATGATGCAGTTAGAAGCTGTAGAAATGATGCAGTTAGAAGCTGTAGAAATGATGCAGTTAGAAGAAGCTGTAGAAATGATGCAGTTAGAAGGTGTAGAAATGATGCAGTTAGAAGCTGTAGAAATGATGCAGTTAGAAAAGCTGTAGAAATGATGCAGTTAGAAGCTGTAGAAATGATGCAGTTAGAAGCTGTAGAAATGATGCAGTTAGAAAAAGCTGTAGAAATGATGCAGTTAGAAGGTGTAGAAATGATGCAGTTAGAAGCTGTAGAAATGATGCAGTTAGAAGAAGCTGTAGAAATGATGCAGTTAGAAGGTGTAGAAATGATGCAGTTAGAAGCTGTAGAAATGAAGCAGTTAGAAGCTGTAGAAATGATGCAGTTAGAAGCTGTAGAAATGATGCAGTTAGAAGCTGTAGAAATGATGCAGTTAGAAGAAGCTGTAGAAATGATGCAGTTAGAAGCTGTAGAAATGATGCAGTTAGAAGCTGTAGAAATGATGCAGTTAGAAGAAGCTGTAGAAATGATGCAGTTAGAAGCTGTAGAAATGATGCAGTTAGAAGAAGCTGTAGAAATGATGCAGTTAGAAGAAGCTGCAGTTAGAAGAAGCTGTAGAAATGATGCAGTTAGAAGGTGTAGAAATGATGCAGTTAGAAGCTGTAGAAATGATGCAGTTAGAAGCTGTAGAAATGATGCAGTTAGAAGAAGCTGTAGAAATGATGCAGTTAGAAGAAGCTGTAGAAATGATGCAGTTAGAAGCTGTAGAAATGATGCAGTTAGAAGCTGTAGAAATGATGCAGTTAGAAGCTGTAGAAATGATGCAGTTAGAAGAAGCTGTAGAAATGATGCAGTTAGAAGCTGTAGAAATGATGCAGTTAGAAGCTGTAGAAATGATGCAGTTAGAAGAAGCTGTAGAAATGATGCAGTTAGAAGTGTAGAAATGATGCAGTTAGAAGCTGTAGAAATGATGCAGTTAGAAGAAGCTGTAGAAATGATGCAGTTAGAAAAGCTGTAGAAATGATGCAGTTAGAAGCTGTAGAAATGATGCAGTTAGAAGCTGTAGAAATGATGCAGTTAGAAGAAGCTGTAGAAATGATGTAGTTAGAAGCTGTAGAAATGATGCAGTTAGAAAAAGCTGTAGAAATGATGCAGTTAGAAGAAGCTGTAGAAATGATGCAGTTAGAAGGTGTAGAAATGATGCAGTTAGAAGCTGTAGAAATGATGCAGTTAGAAAAAGCTGTAGAAATGATGCAGTTAGAAGAAGCTGTAGAAATGATGCAGTTAGAAGCTGTAGAAATGATGCAGTTAGAAGGTGTAGAAATGATGCAGTTAGAAGAAGCTGTAGAAATGATGCAGTTAGAAGAAGCTGTAGAAATGATGCAGTTAGAAGAAGCTGTAGAAATGATGCAGTTAGAAGAAGCTGTAGAAATGATGTAGTTAGAAGGTGTAGAAATGATGCAGTTAGAAGCTGTAGAAATGATGCAGTTAGAAGCTGTAGAAATGATGCAGTTAGAAGAAGCTGTAGAAATGATGCAGTTAGAAGGTGTAGAAATGATGCAGTTAGAAGCTGTAGAAATGATGCAGTTAGAAGCTGTAGAAATGATGCAGTTAGAAGAAGCTGTAGAAATGATGCAGTTAGAAGCTGTAGAAATGATGCAGTTAGAAGCTGTAGAAATGATGCAGTTAGAAGAAGCTGTAGAAATGATGCAGTTAGAAGGTGTAGAAATGATGCAGTTAGAAGCTGTAGAAATGATGCAGTTAGAAGAAGCTGTACAAATGATGCAGTTAGAAAAAGCTGTAGAAATGATGCAGTTAGAAGCTGTAGAAATGATGCAGTTAGAAGAAGCTGTAGAAATGATGCAGTTAGAAGCTGTAGAAATGATGCAGTTAGAAGCTGTAGAAATGATGCAGTTAGAAGAAGCTGTAGAAATGATGCAGTTAGAAGCTGTAGAAATGATGCAGTTAGAAGAAGCTGTAGAAATGATGCAGTTAGAAGCTGTAGAAATGATGCAGTTAGAAGCTGTAGAAATGATGCAGTTAGAAGCTGTAGAAATGATGCAGTTAGAAGAAGCTGTAGAAATGATGCAGTTAGAAAAAGCTGTAGAAATGATGCAGTTAGAAGCTGTAGAAATGATGCAGTTAGAAGAAGCTGTAGAAATGATGCAGTTAGAAGTGTAGAAATGATGCAGTTAGAAGCTGTAGAAATGATGCAGTTAGAAGAAGCTGTAGAAATGATGCAGTTAGAAGCTGTAGAAATGATGCAGTTAGAAGGTGTAGAAATGATGCAGTTAGAAGAAGCTGTAGAAATGATACAGTTAGAAGCTGTAGAAATGATGCAGTTAGAAGAAGCTGTAGAAATGATGCAGTTAGAAGAAGCTGTAGAAATGATGCAGTTAGAAGCTGTAGAAATGATGCAGTTAGAAGAAGCTGTAGAAATGATGCAGTTAGAAAAAGCTGTAGAAATGATGCAGTTAGAAAGTGTAGAAATGATGCAGTTAGAAGGTGTAGAAATGATGCAGTTAGAAGCTGTAGAAATGATGCAGTTAGAAGGTGTAGAAATGATGCAGTTAGAAGCTGTAGAAATGATGCAGTTAGAAGGTGTAGAAATGATGCAGTGTTGACAGAGTTACAGCTTCAAACGTACCTGATGATGGATCCGATGTTTGGATAAAATCTTGCCACCAGGACTCCAGATCCAACGATTAAAATGTTCAAAGCCAGAACATGAAAGAAACTGCACCCAGACCCAAGAGAGAGAGGGAAAATCATCACCTGGGATCATACCAAACCTTTATTGTCAAAAGGGTTAGGTCATCCCTAAGCAACCTTCATCTTCTGCAGTGTAAGCTGCCTTGTTACCTTCACTTCTTTCAGTGTTACAGGCTGTGTTACAGGCTGTGTTACCTTATCTTTTGCAGTGTTACCTGGGGTAATGGTTTCCAAATATCTGGCCCATCATCTGGACCCGGACCAGGTAGCCCAGCAGGGGGTAAACCGTAATCATCTGGAACAGCAGGAAGCCCCGAGCCACAAACACCATCACATCATCACTGGGGAAGTTATCCAGGAAGTTCTGTTGGGGTCAACCACTAATCATATTTATTATATTCATTCTCTAAATACTGTTATACATATAATATTCTCAATTATGTAAAAAAAACAAAAAAACAAGGTAGTACTACTGGATCTGAGCCAGGACTCACATTGAAGATTCAGTTACAGTTCATCTTTAATGAATACATAGGAACTTTCATCTTACTGGTTCAATGCAGTCTTTGGAGAGAGGAGGAGAGGGGAAGGCAGCAAAGATCAACACTCCCACATACAGATACGTCACTCCTACCAGGAGGTATGCCACTGACAGGTCCCGCACCTGAACACAGCAACATCAAGCAACATCAAGCAACATCAAGCAACATCAAGCAACAACATCACGCAATTCAACACCAAACAATAACGTGAGGTGATCATGACGATGTTGCTAACCCTTAAATTCTTGTGTTGGAGGCTCCTTTGACAAAAAGGGAAGTTATTAAATATCAATACTTAAAATAGAAGAAAAACAGAAGAAAATCACAATGAGAAGAAAAAAATTGTGTCACAAGCCCCCGCCGTGTCAAAGAGAGGGTCATCTCCCTGCAAACCCAGGTTCCAAGAGAAAGGTCCTGCTGTTTTGTTTGCATATACACCCAACAGCAGTTCAGAGTACACAGCCTTCTTGGAGTCTCTGGGGGGGGGGGGGGGTCCTGGAAGGGGTTCTGCATGGGTACTCTAGAATTCTACTGGTGGACTTCAACGCTCACGTGGGCGATGATGGAGACACCTGGAGGGGGGTGACAGCGAGGACATCCAGCTCCATCTGAACCCAAGTGGTGCTTTGTTACCAGAACACTGATAGGCTGGTCACCTTTGGGTGTTCAGGGAGATGATTGTGGTGGATTTGAAAAATGAGGGGAAAGTCTGGTGGGCGGAGAGACGTTGAAGACCCCTGTGAGTACGCACAGACCTTCAGGACCTGGCCAGGAAGACTTGGGCTGTGCACACATGACGGGAAAGAGTATAGGAGTGATCTAGAATGTTTGAATGTCGGCCCTGTTAAAGTCCCCAATAACAACAAGTGGGGTCTCATGGTGTGAGGTCTTCAGTATGCTAATGAGCTTTGGAGCTCAGAAGGGGGGGATACAAACATGGCCATAGTAACAGATGTAGATAAAAGGGCTGAATGAGGTGTTCCAGGTTGGTGGAGTAAAAGGTTTCTACAGTTGGTCACACTAAACCTGGTTCAGACATCGTGTTCCCTGAGGGCTGCTGGTCTCAGCCTGAGGAGGGGGAAAACCCGGGTGCTCATCGTCCGTTACCTGCGTCTCTGTGAGGCAGAGCGGTTCTTGATGTCGAGCTGGAGATGGACAGCTTGTTGTGAAGAGAGTGCACAGTAACATGGGGAGCATGTTCAAACAGTTTGAGTTTACAGAGGGATGAAGAGTAGACTCACGTTGTTCTCTTGGTTCCTGTTGCTCTTCATCAGTGTGATGATGCAGTTGTGGATGAAGAAGGCCAGCGTGAGGACTCCTGTCAGCTGAGGGAAGAGAAGTCTGAGCTCTGAGAAGAAGAAGAAGAAATCACAGCACAAGAGAAAAGTGAAGATTGTACAAAGGTCCCAGAAAAGGTTTAGGGCCTTCACTGCATATTGTAATATATATATATATGTATATATATTCACAACCAATGAATGTGATTCTATTAATACCCTGTTCAGATTTGTGCAGAAGAAAGAAGAAAACAAGACAAAGAAAGCCTTAAAGCCCCTGGAAACCCAAATCCACATAAAGCTTCTTCTTCTGTTATTTCAGACCACCTCTTAAATGTTTGTTGAGATTTCATTTAAAATTCTGAAACTCTGGGGCGCGCTGGTGGTGCAGTGGTTAGGGTGCGCACCCCATGTGTTGAGACTCTCGTCTCGAGCGGTAGGCCCGGGTTCGCTTCCACCCGTGGCCTCCTTCCGCATGTCGTTCCCTGCTCCCTCTCTCTGGTTTCCAGGCACAAAAGTAAAAATAAATCTTTAAAAAAATAAATAAATTCTGAAACTCTTCTGACGTGCATTATTGAAGACTTTGAAATAATGGAGCAGTCTGAACATCCAGCTGGAATGAGGGACTTGTAAAAGTTAGTCAGTTTTCTTGATATAAACCAGATTCTCACAACAGGCTGTTGAGTTGTTGGGTCAGTATGTGACAGAGGCCAAAAAATAACTTCTTAACTCTAAACTGTGCAAAAAAGGTGTTTTTCCATGAGGCTAACGATTGCACAATAACCACCGACAAGAGGGAAATACAGAAAGGAAATGAGTTTCAATATCTAGCTGTGGTCTTGGATTCCCAATTGAAATTTGAAGCACATATCAGATAAATGTCCAAGACCATAAAGACTTATTTGAATAGCTTTTGACTCTTAAGATCTTGGTCACTGATTAAGGCTGTTATACATGCACACTATGAATTTATCACATTCTGTTGATTGTATAAGTGTCCGGGGTCAGGCCCAATCAGCAATGAAGCCTATTTGTGATTATACAAACAGACCCTAAGAACACTGGATCCAAAGCCAATTAATGACACCATTATACAAAAGTAGAATTTATTATGGTTTATCAAACTAATGTTTAAGTGTGTGAATGGTTTTGCCCCTGGTCAGTCAAATGATTCAGAAATACTCCAGTACAAGAGGTGCATTTAGAGAAGATTGAGATTTACCCTCCAATACCCTCAGAAATAAAAACATGAACTCATTCCAAAGCTTAAGCTGCCCCTAACCCTAACCCATGGAGCCGTTTGGTTTAACCCTAACTTATTCTATTAAACAGCCAAACATGATTTAGAGATAAAAACCAGGACGCACATTTGAATACACAACACAAAGCCAGAGGGCCTCCATAGTGTTATTAACACACCTGGAACATAGAACTGTGTGGGAAGGAACCAGTGGAACTCCAGGTGGAAGCCAAGGCGGACAGCTTTGATGGTGACCAGTGTGATCAGGTAGACCACTGAGATGGTACCTGGAAGACAGCAACAGTAGATTCTATGAGCACAACCTGAACAGAGTCTTCTCTGGGCTGACAGCTGGAGCAGACTCTTCTGTGTTTGTTGTGCTTTTGCTTTCGGTTTAATATGTCCTTAGAGAGTTGCCATAGCTGCCGTAAAACAGTTTTTTCTACAGAGTTATGTGACAGCGTAACAATGTTACGATGTTATGATGTCACAGTGTTGTGATGTCATAATGTTGTGATGTCACAGTGTTGTGATGTCACAGTGTTATGATGTCATAGTGTTGTGATGTCACAGTGTTGTGATGTCATAGTGTTGTGATGTCACAGTGTTGTGATGTCACAGTGTTGTGATGTCACAGTGTTATGATGTCACAGAGTTGTGATGTCATAGTGTTGTGATTTCACAGAGTTATGATGTCACAGTGTTGTGATGTCACAGTGTTGTGATGTCACAGTGTTGTGATGTCACAGTGTTATGATGTCACAGTGTTGTAATGTCACAGTGCTGTGATGTCACAGTGCTGTGACGTCACAGTGTTGTGACGTCACATTGTTGTGATGTCACAGTGTTGTGATGTCACAGTGTTGTGATGTCACAGTGTTGTGATGTCACAGTGTTATGATGACACAGTGTTGTGATGTCAGTGTTATGATGTCACAGTGTTGTGATGTCACAGCGTTGTGATGTCAGTGTTATGACGTCACAGTGTTATGATGTCACAGTGTTGTGATGTCACAGTGTTGTGATGTCAGTGTTATGATGACACAGTGTTGTGATGTCACAGTGTTATGATGTCACAGTGTTGTGATGTCACAGTGTTGTGATGTCAGTGTTATGATGTCACAGTGTTGTGAAGTCACAGTGTTGTGATGTCAGTGTTATGATGACACAGTGTTATGACATCACAGTGTTGTGATGTCACAGTGTTGTGATGACACAGCGTTGTGATGTCACAGAGTTATTATGTCACAGTGTTGTGATGACACAGCGTTGTGATGTCATAGAGTTATTATGTCACAGTGTTATGATGTCACAGTGTTGTGATGACACAGTGTTGTGATGACACAGCGTTGTGATGTCACAGAGTTATTATGTCACAGTGTTGTGATGACAGTGTTGTGATGTCACAGTGTTATGATGTCACAGTGTTATGACGTCACAGTGTTGTGATGTCACAGTGTTGTGATGTCACAGTGTTGTGATGACACAGCGTTGTGATGACACAGCATTGTGATGACAGTGTTGTGATGTCACAGTGTTGTGATGTCACAGTGTTGTGATGTCACAGTGTTGTGATGACACAGCGTTGTGATGACAGTGTTGTGATGTCACAGTGTTATGATGCCACAGTGTTATGACGTCACAGTGTTGTGATGTCACAGTGTTATGATGCCACAGTGTTATGACGTCACAGTGTTGTGATGTCACAGTGTTGTAATGTCACAGTGTTGTGATGTCACAGTGTTGTGATGACACAGCGTTGTGATGTCACAGTGTTGTGATGACAGTGTTGTGATGTCACAGTGTTGTGATGACACAGCGTTGTGATGCCACAGTGTTATGACGTCACAGTGTTGTGATGTCACAGTGTTGTGATGTCACAGTGTTATGATGCCACAGTGTTATGACGTCACAGTGTTGTGATGTCACAGAGTTATTATGTCACACAGCACGATGTAGAATTTGAAGACTTTTCTTACTAGGAAGGTGAACCTGGCGAAGAAGGAGCGGAGCGGAAACAGAGCAGCGCAGCAGCAGGACGATCAGGTACAGAGGGATGGTGTGGTTTTACTCCACCACTGTTCAAAAGAGTTCCCGTCAGTTTCATTCCCACTGATGAAGAAGGTGCTGAAGGTCAGGTTCCCCCCGGGGTCCGTGTTTGGATAGGGACAGATCACTGAGGACAAAACAAATAAACAACAACAAATAAACAAATCACAGTTTACAAACATAACTTATCAATAAGCGAGTCTTACCTCTGTCCGAGCCATTGGTCCCAAACTCTGAGTCTGAAACATTGACGTCGTGAGCGTAATCTGTAAACATCAGAAACAAATGTCTTCACTTCTTTATATCTTTATTATCTATCACATTTATTATTATAGAACTTCTTTATATCATGTGCTGTTCATTCTCACTTCTAATCAGTTTCCTGTCTAGATAATAAAGTCAGAACTCACTGTAGATGAACTGTCCCGTGTTGTAGAGGAAGTTGGACATGAGGACCCAGTAGACCACCATGGCTCCGATCAGAGACACCATGGAGAAGAGCAGACTGGACCACTGACCGAACTTTCCAAAATAATACCTGCAGACATCGGGGAACTCCCACTCCGATGTGTCCACATACGCTTCAGATAGAGCAGAGATATAAAAACATCTGAAGTGAATCTATGAGGACGAGTCTTATTACAAACATTCACACAGGATCCTTTACTGCAGCGCGGTGGTTTCCTGATTCTTTCATAATGTGTGTGAGCTCTGCGTCAGTAACATCGTTCTTTACACTTCAGTATGTTTACAGTCGATACAGCAGGGGGCAGTATGCACAGAGTTGCTTTAAAATACGCCATTACGCCATGAAGAAGTAACCATGGCAACCGCTGGCAGGTTGAGTCCGTCCTGCTAACTGATGTTATATCAGAAACGTCCACCTTCAGCTCAGACGAGGAAACGGGCCGTGCTGCGACGATACAACGGTTTTTGAAGTGACAGGAGATCCACTTCCTGTTTGAGCCCAAGACGCCACTTCAAGCGGACTCAGGAACAAGTCTGTGTTCACGCTGATCCAATGACCCGCCTCCGATGTGAAACCACTCTAACCCTCTCCATATCATAGATAGATTCTAAATGTGAGGTTATTAAAACAACATATTTTTTAATTTTATCTTCTGTGATTGTTTTTGTTGTAAGCGTGTTCATGAATGTGATTGGTTACGAGCTGGTAACTCCTCCCCCTCCATGTGAACCCGCTCACAGCGCTCTGTAACCTCAGTGTGAAGGAACTGTGTTGTTAATCACCTGAGACTGCAGTTACATATAGGAGCCACCAGAGGGCGGTGTCACTCACGTATGGCTCTGGTGACCGGAGGACGAGTAGCAGCAGTAGAGCATGAGCAGACCGGTGAAGACGAGGAGGAGGACGCCAAGCGTGAAGCCGGCCTGAAGGAACAGAGAACACACGCTCACATTAAAATCAATCATGAAGCAGGGCTTTTATTTTGAAGGGCTGTGTGATGATCACCTGTTTGATTCCCCACGGGATGCTGAGGATCGACGTGCCCATCATCGTGTTCCAGATCGCAAATCTGAGAAAACAAAGAACATAGAATCATGATGACAGATCAGCTTACTGATGATAGAATCATAATGATAGATCAGTTTATTGATCATAGATTCATGATGATAGATCAGTTTATTGATGATAGAATCATAATGATAGATCAGTTTATTGATCATAGATTCATGATGATAGATCAGCTTATTGATGATAGATCCATGATGATAGATCAGTTTATGATGATAGAATCATGATGATAGATCAGTTTATTGATCATAGATTCATGATGATAGATCAGCTTATTGATGATAGATCCATGATGATAGATCAGTTTATGATGATAGAATCATGATGATAGATCAGTTTATTGATGATAGAATCATGATGATAGATCAGTTTTTTGATGATAGAATCATGATAGATCAGTTTATGATCATAGATTCATGATGATAGATCAGCTTATTGATGATAGATCCATGATGATAGATCAGCTTATTGATGACAGAATCATGATGATAGATCCATGATGATAGATCAGTTTATTGATCATAGAATCACGATGATAGAGTCATGATGATAGATTCATGATGATAGATCCATGATGATAGATCCATAATGATAGATCCATGATGATAGATTCATGTATTGGTACCAGTCGTACATGTGATGATGCTGGGTTTTTGGACAAGCCATCGCTGCCCGTCACTTGAACGCCGTTCCCAGCGGGCTGTAGAACGTAGATCTCCTCGGGGGTGGGATCACATGGTTTGGAGGACTCTAGGGGGGAAACAGAGGTAAACATGGAGAAGGCTTCACAGGGACAGTACAGTTAAGATGTTGATAACCTGGCTCAGGTAGCTGTACTGTGATGGTCATACCAGCAACCTTCAGAGAGCCCGTCAGTCGACTGTAATAATGAACTCTGCTGTTTAAGATGGCGGCTTCAGCAGAAACTCGTTCCTGAGGATCATCGTCTACGATGTTTCTGGGCTCCACGTGGAACGCCTGAAGATGAAAAAACACAAGTTATTAACCAATCAGCAATGACCAATCAGCAATGACCAATCATTGTGACCGTGATTAGTTTTTTTTCATCAAACGTTTCAGATTTTTTTTAAGTAAACAAACTAACAAATTATTAATACAAATTCTGTAGCTTCTGTGTGTGTGTGTGTGTGTGAGCTCGTCAGTCACTGTGAAATACCAAACTGGATTAAAAGTCACACACACTGTTGATGGTAGGCGTTAAAACACACAGGTTAGAGTTCTCTTGTGAATTCCAGGAAGTCAAAGCAGCTACACACACACACACACACACACACACACACACACACACACACACACACACACACACACACACACACACACACACACACACACACACACACACACACACACACACACACACACACACACACACAAACCCACACACACACACACACACACACACACACACACACAACCGTTTATTCTTCAGGTCCAGGGAGTCGGTGGATCCTCGGTGAGAGTCAGAGTTCAGCACGGTTGACAGTCGTCCTCCATCCTGAAACACCAGAAATAAATTCACTTTTTCATTTTCAACACACTGCGAGAAGACGTGGTCGCAGGTCGTGCACAGCGGAGCGAACACGTGCTCGTCACTTCCTGTTCACTGTGACGCTGTTCTCTGACGTGGAGCAGCAGTCACCAGAGACCACTGAACGCCACCTACCGTCCCCGGTGAACGCCATTCTTCATGAAAACACTTGTTAGTAAAGAATGTGTTTTTATGTGAATGGATGTTTTTTAAAACAGTAAATGGGGCGCAGTGGTTAGTGTGTGCGCCCCAGGTTTGAATCTCTCTCAGCAGGTAACTTTACTGAGACCATCGAGGTCACACACACACACACACACACACACACACACACACACACACACACACACACACACATTACTCTTATAATAATAATAAGTGCTGAGTCATGAATCTGATGTGTTTATACGAGCATAATTAAAGTGCTGAGTCATGAATCTGATGTGTTTATACGAGCAGTATAAAGTGCTGAGTCATGAATCTGATGTGTTTATTACGAGCAGTGATAAAGTGCTGAGTCATGAATCTGATGTGTTTATGAGCAGTGATAAAGGCTGAGTCATGATCTGATGTGTTTCTATGAGCAGTGATAAAGTGCTGAGTCATGAATCTGATGTGTTCTATGAGCAGTGATAAAGTGCTGAGTCAT